CATTAATTTGCCTATCACAATTATTGCCTGTTGCTTGATTAGCTGTAATTCAGGTGTTCTCTAGGAGATCAAAGGAGTTTTACTGTACTGCCTATTCTAGTCTCAGAAGAAATTTGTGGGACAAATTTTTTAAAAAGGAAAAACCATTAAGATGTTTTTAATGATTACAAAAACTTTTAGGAAACATGAAGTGTTTTATGTTCCTCTTTCAACAGGAGTGGGATTCTGGCTATTCCCAATCCTGTTAACAGATTACAAAAGGCTTGGCTGCCCAATTAACAATAGAGGTCTGTTATGTTACCTACAGAGATCAACTCAAAGCAGTTTTCTAAATTAAAAATACTCTCTTACTTCTTTGTGCTTACTTACTCTTCATTTTTCAGAATCTAGAAAGAGTTAATACTTAATAATTCATAAGTCAATTGAGTTGCATTTTTCATTTCTTAACCAAAAGTTCATATGCAGACAGCTTTCACAATGGTAATATATGTTTTAAATATAAATTGCTGAAATTCTGAAGTGATGGCATTTGAGGTCATTATAGAGAAACTTTGATTAAAGCATGCCTTTAAAGAACAAAAACCTATTTTTGCTGTTTTAAACACATTGGTCTGATTGGAGTGGGCAATTTGTAGGGAACAGAATGCCATCAGAGAGCAGGGATTTCTAAATCTGGTTAGTAGATCTTGTCCCTAATACAGGTGGATTTTGGAGATGAGAAGGAAGCAGGAAGTAAACTCACCTACTGGCTTGTGGTTCTCTGAGTTACAACAAAATTCATTTCCACAGTCAGCTTCAGTTAGTTAACACTTGTTAAATTTCTACTGGATAACATCAATAGAAAGATTAGTTATTCTGTTTATAAAGTCAGTGAAAGGAACATGGGATGAAGGGAACCCCTAGAGAAAAGATCTTGGGGTCTGGAAAAAAGAAAATGTATCTTTGAGATCTTCCTGCATTATTCCTCCTTAGGGAGCCCTTTAAAGCCCATTCCCCTTTTGATTTCTAAGATCCCTTTTTCTCTTAAAACAGCCTTGAGTGATGTGACCTTTCCTTCCACAGTAGAAACACTTTTGAAATGCCTGAGGTTGTTTAGATATCATTTCCAACGTAGCCTGTACAACAGCCTCTCTAAGGACCTATATAGTAACTCTTAAAAGAATGGTTTATGGACATAACCATTCCCTTAATCTGCTTTATGGTCATTCTGTTGAGGTTTAGGGGTGCTGGGACCCCAAAATAGTGACATGTGGGTCCTGCCCAAATGAATTTGACCCTTTCAGCCAAAGACAAGGTTTATTAAAGATCCACCATATTGACCAGACTCTTAAGGAATCTGAGCATTTGTGTCATCGCTAATGCAAGTGGGCCAGATTGAATCTGAGCCATTAGCCAGATTTTAATAATCTGAGCCCCTTACTGGAGGTGAAATGGATTTTATATACAGAAAGACTGTGAGAGGGATCTCAGAGTGTCCAAGCAGGCTGGGGTGAATAGAGGAGGGGTCTAGGGAGGATCTTGATGGAAGTGGACAGTAGGCTGGGGTGAATAGAGGAGAGGTCTAGGGAGGATCTTGATGGGAGTGGACAGTAGGCTGGGGTAACTGGAGGTCAAATACCTGGACAAAGAGAATGGGGTCTAGATAGGATCAAGGAATGGAGGTCTAGGGTGGGACCAGGTGTAGACAATGAAAGAAATGGGAGGAGTAGATGCTTCAGGTGAAATGCTGGAGATTTGACCAAGTGGGGAGTGCAAGGGGGAGGTTTCCAGAGCCTGTACCTCGTCATTTCCCCCTCAAACAAATGGGACCCAAATTCTTTTGGGGTAAGGGGCAAAGGTCCTGGCTTGGACCCATACCCTTTTAATTCCATGCCAACCTGAGCATCTCTTGTGGAAATACTTTAATATCTCAGGTGGGGATTGATTAACAGAATGGGTTCAAATGATCTAAGCATCTCTCAGAATGGGGATGGGGAGTCTAGTCTCCTATATAATTAAGTACTTTCGTATAGCCTGTTTTAAAAATCTCACCCTCTTATGTTGTCTCCTGAAATCTATTTCAGTTTGCTGGGGAAGCTGCACAAATATCCATATGCTCATGTGAAAAATCATCAGGCCTGCTGCAAAAGGATTATTGGGGTTCTATTGTGGAGCTATGCCTTGGTTTCCTTTTTGAAACCCTAGTTCAGCAAGAAATTTTGAGGGTACGCTGTTTAGTATAATAGTTTGAAGCATGTGGGTAGATATTCCCCAAATATCCAGTTTCCCACACAGTTCCCCAAATAATTTTGTGTTCACAAATTATTTCACTTATTTATCTTCTAGACTACTTGAGATCTCTTTTAATATTCTATTGATATAAACCCTCCATTGTTGAGAGTGAAAATTAGAAGGCAGCAGCACGAATACTTAAAATACACATGGATCATATAAACTTACCCAGAGAAGATCTAAGTACTGGTAATAGGGAGAGAATCAAGTCATAGCCAGAATCCTAATGTTGAGGTTTAGAGGTATAGGGGTACTAGGACCTCAAAATCACATGTGATTCCTGCCAGAATGAATTTGACCCAAGCCTTCTTTTGGCGGAAAGACAAGGTTTGTTAGAACATTGATCAGGGGTGGGTGAGTTTTGTGTAGCTGTTTTCAGAGATACTTCTAGGGACCTATACATTTTCAGTTCTTCCAAGATGGTATGATCACAGGCGAGGTGTTTACTCTTTTCCTGGCCTGTGCTGTGGTGTATGAGTGACCACAAGCACTCATTTTTGCCTTGGAACTGTGAGGAGGATTCCCTCTCTACCGCCACCACAAACTCCACCATGCCAGCACTCCTCCTTGCCCCAGGATTGCCACCCAGAACTATGACCCAGATCCAAGCACAAGCAAAGCAAGAGAATCCTGCCTCAGTACCAGCAAAGTGATCCCTGCAGTCCCCTCTGATCAGCCACTCAATCTCCCTTCTGTCTATAGGCCAAGAACTCCAGAAACAGCTCCCCAGGGGCTGTGCCAAGACTGAGCTCCTCTCTCACCAAGATCTGATAGACCTTTCCCACTGACCTTCTAAGTTGTCTTTGGCATTTGTGAGTTGAGAAGTCTGGAAACCACCACAGCTGCCCTTGATTCAGTCCTCTGAGGTCTGCTCCAGGTTTGCTGAGGCCTGTTTTGCGTGCACACCCACACTGACCTGTGTTTCTCTCCCCCGTCCTAGTGCCATAGACCTTTCTAATCAGCCATCCAAGTTGTCTTGGGCTGGAAATTTGTTTCACTCCTTTTTGTGGGTTTTGCTGCTCTAGAATTTGTTTAGAGCCATTTTTTACAGGTATTTGGAGGGGCTTGGGGGAACGTTCAAGCAAGTCACTGCTTTTATTCTGCCATCTTGGATCCGCCCCCAAGAAAATCTATTTTTGAGATCCTTAGCCCTTACCCCTCCCTCTTCCTGCATTATTCCTTCTTAGGGAGCCCTTAAGGCTCTTCTTCTTATGGACAAATTTTCCACCTGGGCCCAAAAAGATCTCTTTTCTGATTTTTCTGATAAGAATCTGGGGTGCAGAGCTCTAATCCTTTCTGTGGTTGCCAGACTCTGACCAGTGAAAAATACTGACAGTTTCTAGATCATTAATAATTTATTAAGTAGATTAGCTACTAATCAATAAATTGATGATCAGTGGTTTCTCTTGATAACCAAAGACACCTAACAGAGACACTGCATACCTTAAATATTTTTTTTGAAAGGGAATGCCCTTGCCAGACTGGTGAAATCAACCCCGATGGACATTTAACTGGGGGGTGAGCTAAAAGTCTTCAGTTCCTCCTGCTGAGAATGTGGCTCTATCTTGAGACTCAGCTGCCAGCAATCTGGACAGGAGAATCCATCTTTGCTCTGGTTGGTTTTTTTTTTCATGAACTGAATCACCCTAAACTCCAATGGAGGGGTACAAGACATGATCTTATTCCTTCAGGGCGAGAATTTACATAGATTAGATTCTGTTTACACTACAAACAGAAGTAAGGTCTCCTAGTTGGGTGGGATCCTGCCCAAGATTGAGAAACATGTACCCTGAGGATTAGGGCAGTCTCCTTGATTAGCCATGCCCTTCAGAGACTGGCTGACTGACCTACGGGAGCTGATCTCTGAATGAGGAAATAGAAAGCTTAGATCCAAATTAATAAGTTCTTAATATAACAGAAAATAATAATTTCTCTTGATGTTACAGAGTTTTTAGCAAATGGATGTTGTACTTTGTCGGAGACTTTTTCTGCTGATCATGTGGTTTGGGAATATTTTTTATTTTAATGTGATTAATAATGTTCATTGTTTTCCTAGGGTTGAACCATCCTTGTATCCCTGGCATGAATCCAACTTAGTCATAAGGAATGATCTCTTAAATAAATTCTTGTAGTTTATTTGAAAGGATTTTGTTTCAAAATTTTAAATTAATATTCACTGCATTTTTTTATAAGCCAGTTAGTCATGTGATTCACGTACAAGTGTCTTATTTAGAGGAAACAAGGTGATGCAGTAGATAGAGAACACTGGGCCTAGAGTCAAGAAGACCTGAGTCTAAATGTGACCTTAGATACTTACTAGCTCTTTGCCTTAGTGTCCTTATCTGAAAAAATGGGGATATTAATAGCACCTACTTGAAGGGTTGTTGTTAGCATCAAATGATAATAATAATTGTAAATTACTTAGTATAGAGCCTGACACATAGTAAGCACCATATAAATGTTAGCCATTATTACTTTTGGTTAGAAAGTGACTTCCCCTTCTTGTCCCATGGGTAAAATACTTTGGTAAACTAGACCTTCACTGCCTTAACCTGAAGACATGACACTAGTGCAATTTTGGTGATTTTAGAGCTCAATTCTAGCTGATAAGAATGTGCCTCAATAGCTGACTTTCTGTATCCATTTCTGGTGTTGAGATGGTTCTGGAATCTGCCTAATCATGCATGCTGCCAATGGATCTGACATTGATGGCTTCATTGTTTTTGCAGGTCAGCAGGTGTTCCCGGAGGCTCCCAAGACTGTCAGAGCTAAGCACTGCTATGATGAAAGAAATCCAGGAGACTGTGGGATGTGAGCTGGCAGCTCTGGAGCAGGGCTGTGAGGTCAAGAGCTGGTCCCACAGGCTGCAGAGACTTGTGTTTAGAGAGGCTGGAGAGCCTAGCAATAGTGGGACCCATCAAATGACCAAAGTAATCCAGGTACTGAGGAGAGAGGAAGCTAGCCTCGAGAAAACATTCAGAAGATTACAGGAGGAATGTCAACAAGAACTGGCCATTCTGGCACGTGGACTGGAGGGGGTGATCTGGATCCTTCCACCATATCAAAGGTGGTGAAAGGAAGTCCCCATTGAGATACCTCTGCTTGCTTGGTCTGGTGTCATGCTTGAAATTTTACTCTCTTCCAGATGTTGTGTTAGTTCATAATCATGATTGTGAAGGGAGTAATTAAACCAAGAATGTGTAGAATTCAGACCAGACCCATGCTATCTCTAGCCAATACCCTGTTACTTCTTTTGTAGTTATCTCTGTCTCCTTGTGCTTCCCCCCAGACTACCTCTTTGTCTACAACTTCCCAAGCAAGTGGTAATCCACCCTCCACTAGAGGATCTCCAGTTCCAGAAGTTCTGCCTACCCATTACTTCTGTCCATTAGTGCTAGTTCTATCCTTTGGGTCCAAACAAATAATTTTAATACTTCTTCCCTATGATGGCCCTTTAGGGATTTGTAGACATGATCATGTCCACTCTGAGACTTTTTCTCTGGGCTAAGCATACCTAATTCCTCCAATTTATCCTTGTGTGTTATGGTTTTCAAGAACTGAGATGCTTCCACGTCCTTGTCACTTTCTGGACTTGCTTCATTTTGGCTACAACCTTCCTAAAATGTGGTATCAGAATACTTCAGATATGGGTTTGACTTGGGCAGATTGTGTCCTTCCTTGTATTACACCTGGCATTTAAAGCCCTCCACAATATGGTTCTAAACTACCTTTCTAGCCTTATTTCATGTTATTCCCTTTAATGTATTTTATGCTCCAGCCAGAAATTGTCCCCGTGCTCAAAGTTTGATTTCTCTTTTCCAATTGCACCTCATATATTCCCATAAGCTATTCCCCCTTCCTGGGATGCACTATTTCCTTGTCTCCATCTTTTAGTGTGCTGATTTTCTTTCAAGGCTCAGCTCAGATGGTATCTCCTTCATGTAACCCTCCTCTAACTAAAGTATTCTTTTTATTCCTAGGCACCATCTGGATCTCTCCTTTGTGTCCCCATCACTTCCTACCTTGTTTTATATCTCTATCTCTATTTTATCTTTCTATCTCTATCTTCTTCCCCAGCCTCCCCAGGGATTGTACTTTTTAGATTGCATTCCCAGTTCCTTGAATATTTTTGGTACTTAATAAATACTTGTTGAATTGAATTGATTTCACTTTAATAATTGGTAGACATGTTGAATAGAACAGGCTAAATCATAGGTGCCTGGGAAATTCTAACCTAATTATAGTTTGATATTAATTACCAACTGTTGAGTCCAGTCATCCAACCAGTTCCCAAGCCATTTAACTATTCTGTCAGGAGAGATTAGGAGACAACCAGGAAGGGGCCTACTGAATGACAGAAATTAGCTTCAGAAATATGGACCAAAGAGGTGTAGTTAGGGCATGTTTCAAATTGAATCCAAGTGGTTAAACAGAAAACTAGGTCAAAGTTAAAGCTAAGCTTCAAAAAAGCAAATAACCCAAAGGGAATCATGAACTAATTCTGAGGTCAGAAGGTCCAAGGTTAGTGGAGAGGTCCACATGGAGTGTGGTCTGGAAAATATCAGAGGCTGGGAGCGTGAATTGTGAATAACTGACCATCTTTCACACCAAGGAATCAGCCAGACAGTATTGGTTGTGTGGTTATGCTCCTGGACTTCATTGTCTATCAAAGTTCCTGGTATGTAGTAGGCAAAAAATACTTGTGATTGATTGATTGAGGCTTCTTGCAAGGTATCATGAGAGATTTTTGTCAGATGTATTGCTAAAACCTTAATATAACATGCATATGCCATTCACCTAATCTAGCCTTCTATAATTTTGTCAAGGAAATGAAGTTACATTGGCATAAATTTTTTTCTTGATGAACCTATGATTTGTAGTGATCACTGCTTCCCTAAGGGCTAAATCTATCCTCTTAGTAATTTGTTCTAGAATTTTGCTAGGAATAATAGCCATGAGATAGATAATATTATTAACCCTATTTTATAGTCTGAGCTTCAAAGAGGTTAAATTACTTTCTCCCAGTCAAATAGCTAGAAGGTATTAGAACCTAGATTCAGATTTAGTTCTCATTTCAGGTTCAGTGCTAATTCCACTGAACTATGTTACTTTGTAAGGAACTGAAGTCAAATTCACAGACAGTTTGAAGAATTCAATTCCTTTTTTTCTAAAAATAGGAGCTACTTTGCCCATCTCTAGTTCTTCAGCACCTTCTGTTTTCTATAGCTTTTTAAAGATCATTGAAAATCATCTAATGATAATAATGATAACTTACAAGTGACTGGAAACGTGGTATAGTGAAGAGAGAGCCAGTCCAGTGAGCTAGATTCTACTATATGTTTCCCAGTTTTTTTCATGCCCTGAAAAAAGAGCTTGTTTGGGTCTGATTATTGAACTCATTGAGGTCAGCTAGGCACTCTTAACATCTCACTTAGAATTCATAGGATCATAGGCTCTAGACCTGGAAAGAAACTTACAGCTCTTCTAGTATAGACCATCATTTTATAGATAAGAAAACTGAGGTTAAAAGAGTAAGTCAATACAACATTTATTAAGCACTTAGTATGTGCCATGTACTGTTTGTTAAGTGTTGAGAATATGTGGTCAGGGAGGGGGGGTCAAGTGAAATAGGTCATAAGTAGCAGAGCTGTAATGTAGGGTTCATGGGTGAAGTGGGAGAAAAATGGTCTCATAACTCTTCTCCCTGACTATGCAGAGACAAGGGGCTCACTAGTGAGTCTACTTATTTTATGATAGAAATGGAAGAAGAGCTGAAGGTTCCCACAGAATTCAGAGGAATAACCCAGGCCATTAGTGGGGAGGATGCCCGGAATAGACAAATGAAATTTTGTTTCCTAGCTCAGTACAGCCAAGACAAAAAGGCATCTGTCTTCTAGAGATGTACCTGAGAGGCTTCCCCACCTGCTTGATGTACTGGTGACTCACAGTTTTGCCTTGTCTTCTGTCACACTCACATCAGCTCATTCAGAATGGGGACTCCTTGTGTGGGGGAGAGTTTCTCCTCCTAGACTAGAGGGTCTTTGGATGTGTTTTCTCTTAGTGCACCCTGAGTGTACTTCAGACTGAAGACTTTGAGGATAGGACAATGCCGTTTTCTCCTGCCTAGTGAGAGAAATAATTATGAATATGGGGAGATCCAAGGTTTTTTTTCGCCCTATTTTCTGATTTAATTACTAGGTGAAAGCAGCCTCTGAAGGACAGGGCTGACAATGAGATTGGGTTCAGTCTTATATGGGACTCAACTGGGAAAGCTTAATTCTGATTAAAAGGTAAAGACCATCTTAGCTAGATAGAATTCTTTTTTTTCTTTTTGGCTAGGTAATGGGGTTAAGTGACTTGCCCAGGGTCACACAGTTATTAAGTGTTATGTGTCTGAGGCCGCACTCAGGTACTCCTGAATCCAGGGCTGGTGCTCTATCCACTGCGCCACCTAGCTGCCACCTAGGTAGAATTCTTAGTAACCCCACCATTGTTCTCCTCAGGTAAGACTGCATGAAGAATAGATCTTTTTGTCTATATTATTTGAGGTAGGGGGTGATGTGGGTAGAAATGAGTCTCTTTGTCCAAAAGTGACCTAATCAGAGTCATGTACCCAGCTCCTTCTCATTATATTATTCATTCTCTCATTAATTGTTAACCAATCAGGGTTGATTTTATCTGTCAGGAAAACCCACTCTTCTAAGGGTATATATATGTTTAATAGCCCTCGAGGTTAGTCTTTGATTTATGAGAGAAAGCCACTGACCTCAATGTATTAATTATTTGCTAGCCATAATTAATAAATTGATTATTAATTTACCCAGAAATTGTGTATCTTGTACTTTTCATTCATCACACTAACATCTTATCACATTTTTGGAATTTGCCAGGAATCATGCTAGAAACTTTCAACCCCCATGCAACCTTGCTGACTAGAGCCTCTCAGCCTGTGACATCAGAAGTAGAAATCAGTCAGGTGAACCTGGGACTCCTCTTATAAAATCCCTGACCCTCATTGGTTTTGCTGAAGCTCCAGGAGATGGACTGTCCTAATACAGCAGCCCACCCTTGTGGGTTGAGGAGGAGGAGGAGAGAGAGAGAGAGAGAGAGAGCTGGCATGTTACTCTTGGCAAACAAAGAGGGACTGGTGAGCTAAAGCTGAGAATACCAAGGAACCTCAGGAACATAAATGAACCCCTTCCTCCTCTAAGGATACCAATGTATCTATGGATTAATATGTGGTGACCATTCTAGTTATATCCTTCCCTTATTGGCCCTACCATCTTCTCTGTCTATGTTTCTTTCTTAGGTGACTCCTTAAACCATACAATTACTCCTTGTGAGGTTAAAATATCATCTTTTACTTTGCATTACTAGCCCATCTGGTTCTTTGAAATTTCCTATAAGTCCCACAGGGTTATAATGGACTGAAATATAGACTAATTCTCTTTCTACTATATTCACTCTACCCCACCCAGAATCACCCAGACTCCTAGCACTTATAAGTTTACATTCCTAAAAATAGACACATGGCAGTACGAATGTTTCTACCAACATGTAGGGAAGGAACAATGTTTAATTACCACAGTTGGATTCTTCTTGGTCCTCATAGCTAGAGTCATAGGTTGGGAACTTATGAAAGCTAGACTAGTTTTGGTCTCCTTTGCTTCTACTATTTCTGATTTGTACAAAAAGCTTTGAGATAAAGGCCCAAAGGGAAAGACACACAATAGCTGTTGTTTGTAGCTACTTCAAATCAAGACTTTAAGGCTTCTGTTTCTACTGTCCTAGTGGATTTTTGGCAAGACAAGGTCTTCTGCAAGATAGGGGTCAATTCACTATCCCCTGGACCTTCTACCTCATGTCATCTCTGTGCAGAGGATGCTATTTACTACAGGATAAGAGGGTGAGAATTTCATCCTTATGATAGCCTTAGAGCCTCAGCAATCCCAAGCAATTTTCCCTCCTTCTTTACTTTTCTTCTTGCCTCTGGATATATTTTTTGCTTTTCAGCAATACAGGCCAGACTCTCCTCTCTAGGTACCTTCTCTAACAGAGTTTCTTATGTTTCTCTAAAGTTATCAAATGTTGCCTTGCCATGGAATCATCTGCCTGACTAGATTAGTTTCTGGTCCAGGCATGTGGCTTCATCTGTAGTTCTTTCTGCAGTCCTGGCAAATAGGTGGTTCAACATTTATAATGATTCCCTTTAAGAATCAAGATCTCCCAAACCCTACCTCTCTCACCTCTCTCAAAAGAGATGAGACTTCTCTGTTCTACTGGCTTCACATTAGAATAGTCTTTGGAGAAGGACATAGGGAACCCATATCCTTAGCTTGCTTCCCTTGCTCATCAGTTACTCCCCTGAAGAATTTTTTTTGTTATGCGACTCTGATGGATTTGGCATCCAATCTAGATTAGTCTAGAACTCATCCCTTCATTTGAGATTGGAGGCTATCTGGTGGGTAAGCTACTCACTCCCTTTCTTCCAGGATGTTGGTGATACACAAAACTTTCCTTGGTAAGTAAATTAGTAAAAACTCCAACAGATCCCGTGGCGCCCCACAGAGCCAGCTCTACTGAGTAATCCTTTTTTATGTCTTATCAGCTGTATTTCCTTGAGACTCTCCAGTCTAGGTCTTCCTTAGTCCCTTAGCTCTTCTAATCAGTTTCTGAAATTGGTAGGTACCACAATGGTTGCCTGTGGGCCTCCCTTTTTTTCTCTTCCCCTCCATTTAAGAGTATTTCATTTTTTCCAATTACATGTAAAGATAGTTTTCAACATTCACTTTTATAAGATTTTGAGTTCCAGATTTTTTCTCCTTCCCTCCCACGAGAAAGAAAAACAAAAAAAAGTGAAAATAATATACTTTGATCTGCATTCAGACTCTATTGTTCTTCCTCTGGATGTGGATAGCATTTTCCATCATGGGTCTTTCGGAATTGTCTTAGATTTTTTTTTTTTTTTTTGCTGAGAAGTGTTGATGAGAAGAGCTAAATCTATCACAGTTGATCATCGCATGATGTTGCTGTTACTGTGTACAATGTTCTCCTGGTTCTGCTCAGTTCATATAAGTCTTTCCAGGTTTTTCTGAAATCCATCTGCTCATCATTTCTTATAGCACAATAGTATTCCATCACATTCATACACTACAACTTG